ATTTATAATTACTCATATAAATTTTATTATTTTTTTTTTAGCTACTAGTGCACCAATAGAAAGAATATTTTCAGGTGAAACAGATTTGGTAGTTCAGAAAAGATGCAGTTTAAAAGGTGAAACAATTAATAAATGCATGTGTCTTAAAGGATGGTTAAATTCAGATTTAATTAATTAAAGATTATTATAAAGAAAGAAAATTATTTTATTTTTAAAAAATAATTTGGTTTAGTTTTTTATTTTAAAATAAATAGATAAAGAAAACTTAGTATTTTAAAGTTTTTATAAAGTTTTTATATCTACTTTTATTTTTTTTTTAAGAATATTTTAACTTTTTGTAATAATTCTTTTTGCAAATTAAAAATAAAGATAAATTCATTTATCAATATAAATTTAGTATCACAATGTTAAATAATTAAATATTTTTTACTTGAATAAAGAAATGGCACCAGTCGCGTTTTTTTAAGGAAAACGCTCTGGAAGTGAAATCCTTCAAGGAAAACGTTCCAGAAGCAAAATCCTTTAAGGAAAACGCTTCAGAAGTAAAATCCTTCAAGGAAATCGCTCTGGAAGCGAAATCCTTCAAGAAAAACGTTCCAGAAGCAAAATCCTTCAAGGAAAATACTCTGAAAGCGAAATCCTTCAAGAAAACGCTATGAAAGCGAAATCCTTTAAGGAAAACGCTCCAGAAGCAAAATCCTTCAAGGAAATCGCTCCAAAAGTGAAATCCTTCAAGGAAATCACTCTGGAAGCAAAATCCTTTAAGGAAATCGCTCTAGAAGTGAATTCCTTAATGAAAAACACTACGGAAGCAAAATCCTTCAAGAAAATCACTCCGAAAGCGAAATCCTTCAAGAAAATCGCTTCAGAAGTGAAATCCTTCAAGGAAATCACTCCGGAAGTGAAATCCTTCAGAAGTGAAATCCTTTAAGGAAATCGCTCCAGAAGCGAATTCTTTAATGAAAAACGCTCCGGAAGTAAAATCCTTTATGGAAAACACTCCGGAAGCAAAATCCTTCATAGAAAATGCTCTGGAAGCGAATCCTTCAAAGAAATCACTCTGAAAACGAAATCCTTCAAGGAAATCGCTCTGGAAGCGAATTCTTTTAAAGAAAATGCTCCAGAAGCGAATTCTTTAATGGAAAATGCTCTGGAAACGTTTCTCTCAAAACAAATCATTCTGGGAACGTATCTTTTGATAAGAAATGTTTCTCTTGACAGTTTTTCGTTTCTAAATATAAATGCAAGCCAAACGAGCCAGCTTGCAAACCGGCTTGGCTTAGCTTGGCTTGTCAATTGATCTTCACGATCTGAGTTGAGCCAAGCTGAAAAAAAAGTGACTCAGCTCGAGCCAGTGGCAATCCAAGCCAAGCCAGCTTATGCAGAGCTTTATGTGTAACTGATGTACAGTACATAAATACATTCTCCACAACAATCATTTATTCTCTTATTCTCTAATATCTCTGAACAATGTCTAGTAAGTAATAATATGTAATAAATTTACAACATCTCTTCTATCTAAAACTTAAAATGTATCTCGCAGACTCGTTCTCTTATCTCAATAACACGATATACAAAATAACTCTCTGCCCTAACTTGAACTTCAGGATCAAGGTCATTTAAGCTATGCCAGGAAGCGTTATGATTTATTTCACGAATGCGATGGTAAATTTTCAAATAATTTATATTAAACTGAACTATAAATTCATATTCCATTTTTTGCTATTCTATTGATAGATCCCCTTAATGCCAGCAATATAGTACCTCCTGATCCTCAGTTTATCATTGTAGACTCTCAAGGAAACAACCTAAATACAGTAGTTCTCAACAGGATAACGTGTTTTGTTATTTTCAAAACCAGAGGGTACACAATGAGCCTAGGTGAACAAGTTATTTTTATGCTGAAAACTCAAATTCAGCAATGTACAATCGTTGATTCTAACCTCAACTACTTTACGATTCCATAACAGGCAAATCAGATAACAGTTATTATATTATAATGTGATGGCGTTTATCTATTTTTTTTAAAATTTTTAACTTTGCATTATTGGATATTTTTTATGTATTACTGTAATAAAAATAAATTCAACACGTATTTATAAATTTAAAAATAAAATCGAATATTATATTCTTTATTATATTTTTCGTTGTAAGGTAATACATTGAAGTAAGGAAAAATAAGTTTAAAGAAAGATATTATAGATTTGTGAAAATAGGTTCGTGACATTCTGCAATTCATGAATAAAATATCCAACATCTGACTAGGACTCTCTAAAAGCATTTGATGTAGTGCATATAATATGGTCCATTCCCAATGAATTTATTTTATCTGTATTATGTTTAGTAATCAATTTGTGAAAAGTAAAAATCATGTGACACCATGAAAAAATTCACGCATTTTTTGCCAAGAAAAATTTTTATTAATACATGCAAAAATAAAAGATCGGGACTTAGCCTATGATACATATTATTTTTTGATAATTTTTTTGATTCTAGCCCTCTTGCTAGCTGGAGAACTATCAATACTAACCCTATCCTTTAACAGCCCAACAATAATACTTATTACCCTTTTCACGTTGCTTTAAAGTAATTTAGGGTTTTTTTTAACGGCAGACTTCGTAAGATTGATCTGGTATTCGCTTCCACTCGTAGAGTATATACCATCTGGAGTATATATGATAAAGTGCCACTCTGTACCTATAGTCATAATACTATAGATATAGTTAAAATAGTCATTCCCAAACGCTTGATCCGCAGTCCGCTTCTTCTTATTTGTCTGGAATGCACTTTCAAGCTGGGTCAGATTCTAAGAAAAATAAAATGTGTTAATATTGAATCTTCTAAAAAATACAGATCTGTATAGTAGACGCACCTGCGCATATCTGATCTTAATATTACAAGGCTTTCCTTCAGTGATACATAAGAGGTCTTCTAGAGCTTTGATTGCATAGTCAACTCAGCCAGTTGAATCTTCTCCTGAAATATTCTTCTGCAATACTATAAATATATCTTGAGAGGTGAGTTTTTTGGCGATGGCAATTGATGCATATAATATAGCTGAGATAAATTCACAATGCATCATCTTGTTAGCATCAGTCATAGTTTTCACATTCGAAAGTTTTAAGATAATATCCTCTATATAGTGTTCGAACACTTTATCATCATCACTAATCTCCTCGAAGACTACAAAGAAAAATAAAGTTAATATGGCTATCTATTTAGTTTGAAAATTAATTAATTACCTACCAGGAGTAAACTGCTTGATATTTATTATATCTTCATCATTGACCTTATTTCTACGTAACATTTCTTTTAAGTCGTCAAGAGTTTTAAGCGAGGAATAATTTCGTAACTTCTGGCTGAGACCTTCAATATATTTTGCTAGTGTTGTTGCGAAACCAGCTTTCAAGCCATAACTTCGAAAATCCTCTTTAGTTGTATCAAGAAAGACAAGGCCAGAAATTTCTTCTTTGCGTAAAATTTTGAAGTGGAACTCCTCTAACTTCAAGTTTTTCTTCTTCAAATATTCGATAAGCTCCTCTGTATTAAAATCCTTAACAACATCTAACATCATTCTAGTGGAAATTTCTTCCATTATTGGGGCGGGTGAAGTGGGTGAAGAAGCTTGTGAAGACATGATTTTTATATATGTGTGTTTGTGCTTGCGAAAAAATATGTACTTGTTACAGGTAAAGCTGGTTTATAGATATAAAAGTATTTTTGATTTCCAACGCTCAGGGAGAAATGATAGATTTTTTTGTTTCGATTTATAACTGATAATGCTTTTGCCTAATATATATGTAATTAAGATGTAGTATAGAATTATCAGACGATTATATTATATTATTACACGTGATATTTTTCAAGATTTATGACAAAAACATAATATATACTTTATTTAAAAAATAAAAAAACCTTGCCGGAAGGGTCCTAGAGGGACTAAGCTAGCCTACATTACATAAAATTTGCGACTATAACACTACATGATACAGAAGATTATTTGGAGTATACAGTGAAATGGAAGTGCTCTGCTTTAGGTTCCTCATCAAAAATATTGATAAAATTCTCATTTATGGCCATTTCCCCTTCAATAGTGCTTTCGGCTTGAATTATACAAATTTTGAGAGGGATTTGATTAAATGGTGCCCCTAATCTACTTTGAATTGCAGTCTCAAGATCACTATAACCACCACCTCTGCGAATTGTAATCGATTGCATTACTTTAATGCATGGAATATTCATAAGTTTTCCTATAGGAATGATAAGACAATTGAAAGTAATGTTGTTATCATCCATTTCGACTCCTAAATGCAAGAATCAATAGTGAGAAAATTGTTTAGCCCACTCGCATTAAAGAACATATACTGTACATACCTTATTTTGCATTATTTTCTCTGAAAAATATTTTTGCGAAAAGTTAGCTGAACTTCCACATACCATTACATGCTTTATATCTTGCTGGGAAAAGTTAAGGAGGTATGAGACATTATTAGCATTGTCGTCTGATGCTAAGAGCTCTATAAAAACACATGCAAATAGAATCTCATACCTTTTTCACATAGAGATCTACCGAAAAGACATATAGTTAGTTTTACACCTGGTGATCTTGAAATTGTGAGTTCCTCAGCCTTTCATAACATATGCTTTGTCAGCACTATTTGCTTATATGGTAGGTCCTGTGTTGCATGTAAACCATCTTCATATTTTCTCACGTTTGTTTGGGGAAAAAATAGAGGTATTAGTTAGTATATATAACTTCTTTTCGATATGCGAAAATTAATATATCACACAAGACCTGACTGATGATCTACATTTTTTTTTCTATTGCACAGGAGTAACCTGCTTGTGATGCAAAAAAAATTCTGATCAATGATCACTGCTTCAGACTAGTTAGATCGGTAGAGTACCACCATTCTGTAGAGCCGTACCCATAATTATCGGAGGAGACACATTGTTATTATAGGCGACTTTTTCATCCTCGCTCTCGTCCTCAGACCTAGAACATTCAGACTCTGTTTCAATGTATTCCAAATCATAATATTCACTTAGATCAAGATTTCTCATAACTTTATGATGTTTGAAAAATTTGGTTATTATGATTTCTCCATCTGAATCTGTTGCAGTGAAATCAGGAAATAATAGCTCATAAAACATATGCAATGAAAGAGGTAATTCCCAAAGATTTTTTCTACAGCAATATTATCTTTTTTCTCTTTCTTGTTTTTCGATTTCTTTAGGTTTATTAATATATATTGGTAGGTTTTGATGTCTGACAACAGCATATCCTGTATGCATTAGCCATACATTTTCTAAAACCAAATCGTATTCAGGCTTATCAACAACTACAAAATTTGCTGTATGTATTCCCAAATATGAAGGGATACTATCTCATTAAAGATATTTGACAAAGTGATAGAAACTTCTTCTCTATCAATCCAACCCCTCCTCATCACTTTCTTGCCAGCATTTGTTACGCCAATACCAAGGTCTCTTATTGCAAAATATCTTGACCCATATTCTCTAGAAATATATAAATCCATGTTTTTGGTAAGCGCCTTACTAATGCTATCATGAAAGGATTTAGGGTCAATTAGTGCTTTGATAGTTACTTTAGCACAAGTGAATGTACAATCTACTATTAATCTTTTGCGAATTTCTCAAAGTGCTTCATCTTTTTATATATTATTTATACTGCAACATTTTTTAAGTTCTTGTATTGATAAATTTTTTAGAATAAATGGTATTAGTTTAGGCGTAAGCTGATCAAGTAAATTAGCTGTATGCATTTTATATGATTACTGTATCCTTCCGATTTTAAGCACTACCCCAACTTTCAGCATAAAAACTTGAAAAACAAAAATAAGCATCACCTAAATTTGAAAAAATTTTATTATATTTCATATTTTATTTCAAGATAAAATTGTATTTTACAATTCATCATCATCTTCCAATTCATCTAATTCATCAGCCGAATCACTATCTATATCTATAACTTCTCTTTCATTTTCATCAATTTCCTCCTTTTTTTCATCTTGGCTAAAATAAATCGTCTTCTGATCCATCCATTATGTTACTAATACCACATTTTTTAAATGACTTTACAATCATTTCCTTTGGAATTTCCACCCATGCCTCAAGTATCCATTTGCAAATAATATTATATTCAGGCTTTCTTAAATTCCTATCTTTAGTATAAGAAAATTGACTCGAACTCATCCAAATGTTCCACTTTTCATGAAGTCTATCTTTAAATGGCTTATTAAAATGAAATCATTGAATGATCAATAGAAAAATGACGTGTAGCTGCTCTTTGATCATGATTTTTGCATATTGCAAAATCTCAAGCTTTTCACTAGCAGAATATAATGACCTTTGAATTTTTGGCATTGTGTGTGAAAAAAATGTATGTAAAATAGGGGTAAAATTGAATTTATATAAATTTATGTAGTATAAAATTTTTTCGAAGTACAAAAAAAAAATTAAAAAAAACTTCCAAATTTAAGCACCATTCCAAACTTTAGTGAAAGTTTTCCCTCAAAAAAGTGATGCTTAAAATCGAAAGGATACGGTAGTAGAAATTTTAATCAGAAAAATAGAGAGACTAGTTAGCTAATATTTTCTTTTGATATGTGCAAAAATTAATATATTGCACAAGACCTAACTGTTGATCCACTTATTTTTTATTGCACAATCTATAGCTCAACAAATTCTTCTGAGCTGAAGATTACTGCTCTAGACTACCTTTGTTCGGGTTAGTTATCTAATATATGCCTCTAAATAAGTATTGTATTCCATTCAGATTAGCAATACTGGACTGACTAATATAATCTTTAAACCCAATTATAATACCAGTTACTGACTCTTTTTCCGCTTGAATAAGCATTTCTACCAATTTACGATAATAATCATTTTTTACAATACATCTCATATTTTCTTGTGTTAATCCACTATAGAATTTACTTCTAAAATGATCTTTATAGAGTTTAACGATATCATTATATTTTTTCGCCTTTAAACAGTAATCCACTATTGATTCTTCACCTTGAATAAGCAATCTACATTGGAGTTTCTCAATACTCTCTGGTCATATTTCCCATCAAAGTTTATGTGGATAATATGGCAATTCTATCAGACCCAAAATATATGGAAGATAGAAAGCATCGAAATGTATAAATACATGGAATAATGATGATAGATTTCTTATATTAGGCAGACTATGTACAAATTGCTTAAGCGCTTTCTCTTTCTAATGCCTAACTGCCTTTGTCTCCCAGTAGGTTTTGATTGTGCAAAAAAGGTCATCCTAGTATCTCCACTTATCAGGATTCCCTTCATTACCCCATTCATATCTCGATTCATATTCTTTGATAAATTCATTGTAACCTTTATCTGTCTCGTTATCTGACATTTTGCTAGTAGATTGATTAAATATTTTCAATCAGAAAAATAGGTTAATCATTGCTTGTTTCTGTCGCACATGAGTACATGCATTGTGGCTCAGCAAAAAATCTTCCGATCTGGAATGATTCACATGATCTAGTCCTAAAGGGCTCTAGGTTGATATAATAACCGAGCATCACTCCAGAATGATGGTCTAGCTAGAATATAGCGTTCACTTAATCTTCTTGATAATTCATCATTAATATAATTATCTAAGGATGCAACATCTCTTGATGCATCATGTGGTATTCCCAGATGCTTTACAAATTCATGGATTACATTTAAGACTCCATTATTTGGAGGAGGTATCTGAATCGACACAAAATTTTTGACATAGATATTTGAATTAAAAGAAATGAGCTGATCTACAGCTTCTTTACTAATATTACTACACCCTTCCAAATTGAGGTACTTAAAATTAAGACATAAACCAGCAATTTCTTTGATAGTTATATCGGTAATTCGACAAAATCTAAAACTAAAATGCTGAAGCTTTGGACAAGAACGAATAATATTATAAATCAATGATTCAAGAAACTCTGTGCGGTATGAAATGTTAGATATTCTAATTTATGACATGACTGTGTAATTTTCCATAGATCTAGATCATATACTTCTTGAGTATGAAAGCTTCTAAAGCTACCTGACTGATCATCGCACAGATTGAGATACTTCAGATTCAGGTATGAATCTGCTATCAGTTCTAATGCTTTATTACTAAATCCTATGCTATTTATGAAACTCAAGTGGGTTATATTTGGGCATGAATGTACAATGCTTATGATTTTTTATCTGAAAATGAATGGTAGTATGATATTTCGAGATAAGTTACATTTGAGCAATAAACTGGCGTTTACTTCCTACATACTAGCTTTATGAATTTTTTCAATCGAGAGAGATCCTTTGCATGTTCTATCCTTATGAATTTATTTAATCGAAGGCGATCCTTTGCACAGTAATTATAATCATTTGGAAGAGATTGTTCAGGATATAAGTCTTTTCCTCTCAATTCGATATACTTCTATAGAATAGGTATACTGCATCTGTACCACAATCAGAAAACATATAGAGCGGGATAGAGAGATTTATTTATCACTAAAAAATGTAAAATCTGTTCTAATAGTTCTGGCAAATAAATAAAGCTTGATTGTGCCATAAATAGTATATATTATATACTTCATATTCAAACAAAAATCTTTCAAGCTGGTAATCTCCAGCTCAGGCTCGAAGATGTTAGATTTGATATAATAACCAAGTTTCAGAAATGCATAATAAGAAATTATTGAAGTAAGTATACCTTAATAAAAAATATAGCGCTTGCTCTTCCTGAATTACTAAAGAATGTTTTTAATTTTTTAGCTAAAAATAACGCACTATATCTAACTTTGTTAGTCTTTAGACTTTGGTCTAGGTGTACTGGTCCAATTTTATGAGGTCGTATCGAATTGATTGGTAAGAAACAATAGAAAAAGTTTATAAAAATGATACGTATAAACTCTAAACTGATTTTTAGACATAGTGTGTAGTACTTCATAATTACGCACTATTCTTACCTTTCGAATGAGATAATTAAAAAATAGTCGAAGTATTCCCAAACATAATCCATTTAGATTTTGAACGAAGTACGGGTTTTGATGATACAGCCTTAATCAAGATTTCTCAAGTATATCTCAACCTGATCTATCTTAACGTTTCTAACAATGGAGGCTTAACTGATCATTCTATTACTAAAATTGTAAAGAAATGTGATAAATTGCAGTTTTTAGATATTGGTTTTGGCAGAGATATTACCGGTAAATTATTCTGTGAAATAGCACGGTCATGCAATGGGTTAAAACATCTAAGAATTAGTAGGTATCAGAATCATATCACTGATAGCATTATACATGATATTGCACCATCCCATCTTAACCTTCAATCTATAGATATTTGTTCTTCTAGTAGATTTACCGATATTGCTATTTATACCCTTACAGATTCATGCCCAAATCTGAGAAGTTTAAAACTCGAGTATTGTGATGGAATAAATAATATAGCTATCAAAAAAATTGCACATTGTCGTTATTTAGAATATCTCGAACTTTATAGTATAAAAACTCTTAGTGATAATTCAATGTGCATTATTACGTGATCGTATCCAGATATCCAATATCTTAATCTTCAATTTTGCAACATTACAGATAAAGCTGTAGAAGAAATAGCTCTATCCTGTCACAATTTAAAACATCTAGACCTTTTTGGAGCTCTGCATATATCTGATTCGTCAATTTTCAAAATTGCAAAAATGTGTCCTAATATCATATATCTTGATCTTGGATATGTTGACTTTATTTTCGATAGAACCCTTAAAACTATCGCAGAGTATTTATATAATCTAGAATATCTTAGCCTGAAAGGTTGTCGTAGAATTAGTCAAAAAATAATAGACATGTTATTTTCTGATCTCAAAATAGGTGGGTATTACTCATTACCACTTGGGCGGTAAGAATAGATGAATTTGGATAAATTTTCTGAGCTGACAAGGCCCATTTTAAACCACCAACCATTTAACCTTTTTTGGTCGTGCCTTCCTTCGTTGCTTATGAGAGATAGCCTCGTTTTCTCTTATCACAATTGTCTTAACTGAATCAGATTATTCTGAAGACTCAGATAAATAGGAGGAACCCTTACTTTTTTCATTAATCAGTATGAGAACTGTCTCTCTATTCACACATTTGTCTAGTAGTTGTATATATAGATCTTCTTCATTTCTCTCTAATCTTTTTACCGTCTTTTTAAAGCTATTATACTTGAAATGATAATTATTTAGTTTTTTCTTGAGCTTCCGAATCTGTCCAGAGAATGCTTTATATGCTCTTACATTCTGCTCATCCAGTTCAAATAACCAGGCTGTTTTCTCTATACGTCTGATAACTTCCTGCTCACTAGCTATACTATTGGATGAATGCTTTTGATTGGTTACCATTTTCATGATATTTTATATATGCTAGATCTTAGGCGAACAAAAAAATAAAATTTAATAAATATTGTCTAGCCCATCTATGTTCATAGGCAAACTTTCCTATGATTGGCTATTGCAAATCAATTTAAATTAGGTATTATTTATACAGTTTAAAGTACTTTTTCAGAAAATGGTGTTACATTTAGTAAAAAAAAATTTTTGCTTACCGTTTGATTCTTTGAAACGTTAAATAACTGCTTGCAAAAAGAATCCAAAATAATCTCAGTTTTAAAAGAGTTTGCTTAGAGGTGACATACTATAATAATGAAGCTTAAAGGTCTTTATATTGTTATAAAACTTGTTTTAAATCTTCTAATAATCCAAAAAAAGTTTTAAAACTTGTATTTAAAAATGTTAAAAAAAACTTTGAAATACTCTTGTATAATATTAAAAGAATAAAACCATTAAATAATTAATGATTTATTATATTTTAATTTGCTTACATTGCTTTCATGAAAGATATAAAATATTATATATATTATCGTTATATATCAAATTTGTATATGATTGAAATCATGTGATCATATTTATTATTTTATTATTGGTCAACCTTTTTGTCGATCATACTTATTATAGAAATGCTGATCAATATTTTAAACCAATTAGAAGAAAGTCTTCCTATGACATCTATGTGATTAGTTTCATCGAAGAGCTCAAATACCGTTGCCTAATCATAAAGCTGTCCTCTTTTTCGAAAATTGACTATAGTATAGTTTTGCGCTGAAAAGGCATGGTTGTCTAGTAAATGTCAAAAGGCTTGACTGGTGTTAGTCATAGCTTCTGATAAATTCTTCGCACCATTCGATACGACTGCAAATACTGCTCCTAATTTGCGTAAATAACTAGGAAGAAGTGGTTTACCAGTTTCAGAAAGAAATCTATTTTTATTCAGAAATGTATTAAACCATTTAACTCCTAGCACTCCTGGATCTCTCAACTGTCCAGAAGAAATTGTATTCTGAATTCAAGTAAGGAGAAGTTTAACCCGCTCTTCATGTCTTTCTAACGATCTAAATATCTGAGGATTATCCTGTTAGCCTCAGTTTTTTGTGTATTCAGTTACACCTCCATTAGATATACACAAGTCTTTAATTTTGGCAGGATGGATGCAGAGCATTATCATTACATCAGCTAGGGCTTGCACATTGGGTGTATTAGACACATAATAAAAATTGAGTCTCTTCTTAACTAATTCTAACGAGAAGTGATCTGAAAAATCAATCCCTTTGTTTTCACATTGATTCCTACGCTCCTTTTGAATCTTATTAGATGCGTAGGTTGTATCTTCGTCTAATGTAGCAGAGATTATCTTTTCTGAAGCATTAAGTTTTCGCAACTCTCTTCAGAGCCTACTAAAACGGGATATAGTGGCGATAGGGTTAGGGGACATTATATTTAAAGCCTTGACTATTGCCTTTACTTCTTTTTTACCAAGATTATCTCGAACAATACACTGGGCTATACTTTCAATAATTTCTCCGTCTGGGATGATGTTGGATATTTAGCATATATTAACTTCCCCTGCTTCATCCCTCCTTCTTTGGGGATTATCCGACTTCTACTTCAGCAAATTCTTTGATCAGAGACATATATAAACGCCTACTCTTTACTAAAATCATACCCTTCCTGAAAGCGCTGGTGACCCTTGTCTCTTTTTAGTTTATCTGTCAAAAGCTCGAGTAATGCTGAAGCATGCTGGCTAAGTTCTTTATTACTCATATCTTTATTGAGTTTGTGTTCTACAACATACTTTGTTACAATCGTGAACATAGTTGTGTAGATATAGCTTATGAAGTAACTACTAGATTATATACAACCCTTAGGTTATTCTATATCCAAAAAAGTTCAATTCGAAAAATTTTCTCAGAGCTATACTTCTTCAAAAAGGAAAAATATCAGAGATGGCTTTTGACTAGATTAAAAAAGTGAAAAAATAATATAGCTTATGCTCTGCTATTAAGACGCTTCGCAGACTGACATAACACATTTTTGAATATTTATAATAAAAAATGAAGATAAGTTTAACATATATTAATCTTAAAAACTTTCCAGAAAGAAATATTATGCCCTTTAGTCTCTTTGGTGAATACATATCTGATTCGGAAGACTCTATAGATTCTAATTACCCATCTTGGCTTTGCCTATATAAGAAAAAGATAGGTCTATCTGTGGAGAAAGATACTTTCACAAGAATGGGTATGTCAAACATTATAGGTCTCCGCCAGAAAAAATGTGCGCATCCTGCTATAATAGGCTGATCTTTTCTACAATATACGCCAAACCCGTTTATAAGAAAAATTGGCTAGAAAGTCACAAAAAGAGTGAGTAAGATTTGTAACTTTGATCAAAGGTGCTAAAGCAAAGGAATTTTGAATATCTATAATAAAATTGAAAGCGAAGTTTTAAGATTATTAATATTAAAATTATCTCGTATGAGTTATTTTATTTGCCAATACATCAAGAAGGATGGTTCGATGTATGGGAAAGGATGCATGAGTGATTTAGGGTGTTTCAGACATTTTAATGCCTTTCTTAGAACAATATATCCTATTTGTAATGAGCTAACATATTCTGATACTGGAATCTGTAACACACATAAAAGAATTTATAAAAATGCCTGGCGTGAAGGTAAAAAAACTCCTTTGATCAAAGATCTTCAGAAGGGAAAGCTTTCCACTGCTTCCTTACTGTAGATGGTCTTCCAAGGCCAAGATTTCATGCCGGTTAACAACACTATCTATCTATAATAAAAAATGAAGAGAAGTTTGACATATATTAATCTTAATAACTTTCACAGAAAGAAGCATAGGTGAAAAAATATCTGAAGACTCTATAGAGATCCCTTCTAATTTACCATCTTGGTTTTGCCAATATATCAAAAAAGATGGGTCTATCTGCGGAAAAGATGCTTACGCAAGACCGGATGTGTCAGACACTATAAGTCTCTGTTGAAAAAAAGGTGCGTATTCTGTAATGAGCTGACCTATTCCCAGACTGACTTTTGTACGGTTCATGCCAAACCTATTTATAAGAAAAACTGGCTAGAGAGGCATGAGAAAAAATAATGATTTAATTTATTTTAGCACTTGTTAATTGATTGTAACTATATCAAAGAGTTTCTGAATATCGTTATCTGTTTTTGACCTATATGGTGGAAGTTCTGAAGCGTCTTTATCTCTAAAACCAAGACTCTTATATGGCTGGCGATTAATTTTATATGAGTATTCCCAAACTTATTGTCCTTTAGGTCCTATACTTTTTTGATTACTTTTAATGGTATAGCCACATTAATTGCAAGTGATTGCATTGATTGCTTTTATAGCTGAGTTAAGATCTGGTATTTTTTTTGCACGAGACTTAAAGCCAAAGAGTAATAAGGAATTATCTCAGATTCCTATAAACCTTTCACAGGATTGTGTGAATGTTTCTGATATAATATTACCAGAAAGGATACACTTATCATCTATACCAGTAAAGTCCAGTACTTGAAAAAGTTCTCTTATAGCTTCCCAGTGATTTGCCGAATAAGATTTATGCAAGTCCTCCGCCACTGATTTTTCTAGATTCTCTTCAGCTTTATAGCAGGCAATTTCACATTGTGTAATATCCTTGACTTTTAACCCTTTCATTGCACTCTCTTCATCATAGCTATACCTCCGAAATTGAGATAAATGTAAGAAATGTTTTCGAGGTTCAGGCGGGCTAAAACATTCCACAAATTTTTTATTGCAGAGATTATTCCAATCATCGATATTTACGTCTTTACCACTATAAAGATTTCGCATATAGAAACGTTTAATTGCCATAGTATCTGCTATAGAATGCTTTTGGTCAAACTTAAGAATTTCAGCTTCTTCAGGGCTAAGATTTCGGGAAGTAGCAACTGCATTATAATCCGTTTCTTTAATAATTAATGCTTCAACTCTAATCTCATTACGGATTCTTTTACGGTTCCCTATAACTCCTTGGCTTTCATCCATTTTTATTAGTTGGAAAGAAGCGCCAGTACTGGCTATAAGACTACAAAGCTTCTCAATAAAATATCTTGCAGAAAGACGTTTCTGATGCTCAACTTCAATAAATGTTATTACAGCTGAAGACTCATTGATTTTATAAGAAATAGCATTATTATCCCATTCACAGTGACCCTTTATTGCTGTAGGCAAATTATTAGGTTGAGCACTTTCAAGTTCTACTCGAATATTTTCATGGCCTGGTAGACGAAAGAGTTCATTAGAATTTTTCTGATAGAATATGGAAACAATACAATGGGGACAGTCATGAATTCGATAAAGCATTTGTGCAAGAGCTTCAACATGAACTGGAGTGGCGATATTTGTAATGGCTATGACTATATCAAAATGGCCTGTAACCTCGAATGATATTCCCGCCTCCACTATGTTTGTGTAAGCTACACAGTTAAGCTCACCCCAAGCGACATCAATATTAGAGAAGTCTTTTTGCTTCTGCTTTCCATCCATATT